GGGTGGTTCATCGGCTGAGGAGTATAACAAAGTTCAAGCATATGTGGCAGAGTTGAAGCATAAAGATCCTGCGCGGACCTTCATTCTCAAGGTAGATGGAATTCCAGATAGAAGAAGAGGCAGCTCAAAATATGGTGCGGAAAAACCCAAATCGATATGAATGGAATATGCCTCTGGATATCGTAAGAAAGGAAATTCTGAGGGCGATGCTGGCGCTAACCAATCATGGAAAGGTGTTCAAGAGGTTATAGGGTTTCTTTAGGGGTTGTAGTCCCATGTTCACTTTGGACATGTGTTTTCTTAAAGGGAAAGTAACATGCATGTTGTTGAGCGCAATTGAGAAGGATGGGGACAATCGAATGTTCCCTATTGCATGGGCCGTTGTAGAAGGAGAGAACAATGACTCATGGAAGTGGTTTGTTTCAATTCTGCAACAAGACCTTAGGAGCACTAATGGTCGTAAAATGGACTATCATATTTGACCAACAGAAGGTGCTTTTTCTACATTCAAACTCAATTCCATTACACAGTTTTTTTTTGCTTTTTTTATTGACTCATAAATAATCTTTGTTTGCAGGAATTGGTGCAAGCAATAAGCACCTGCTTATCCGAGGCTTCTCAAAGAATGTGTGCACGCCATGTCTTTGCCAATTGGAAGGTGAACCATTGTGTCAAGGCCCATCAAGACCTCTACTGGGCAGTAGTGTATGAAACTAATGTACCAGACTACAAGGATGTTTTAACGGAGATGGAAGGTATTCAGCAAAATGGGGTTGATCATAGATTAGTTAAGGACTTCTTGGACCAAGAACTAGTGACATTCTATAAGGCTTTCATGATCCACGTACCAAGGTGTTACTTGGTGGAAAGCAACATATGTGAGACCTTTAATGGCTACATTTTGGAAGAAAGGAAGGACATAATTATTGACATGCTAGAGGGTATTCGTTGAAAGCTCATGGTCAGATTTGTCGAAAAGAATAAGCAGATTGCTAGAGTTGATGGTCTTTTCCGCCCTAGGATCCAAACAAAGTTCAATATTGGAACGGTCTTGGCAAATATGTGTGTAGTCAGCCCTCGTCTAGAGATGAAGTTTGAGGTAGCAGATGGAAGAAAAGGATATATTGTGGATTTTGCAGATATGTATTGTACATGTGGTTATTAGGGGCTGACCGAGATACCTTGTCAACATTCTATTGCATGCTTGTAGTGGAAGAAGATGGAACCAGCCTAGTTTGTGTCCGATTTTTACAAAGTGGAGGTGTTTAAGATGGCATACAGGTATGACATTCCTGCCTTGGCTAGTTCAAGATATAGCCTGGTCGTCAAAAGAAACAAATGAGGAAAGCACCACGTGAGATTGAGACTGCAAGACATGGTTCAAGAGGTGTTGCTATCCGGAGGAAACAGGAAGTCATGCATTGTAGTCATTATAAATTGTCAGATCACAATGTAAGACTTTGTCCAAGTCTTCGTGCTAGAGAGTTTAGTATGATAGCCAATTTCATATTAAACTCAAACCTTATTCAAATTATTAGAATTATTTACATGTGTAATTATTTTCATTATTTACATGTTGAAGAACCTTGGAACAAACATTCCACCACCTGCAGTCGAGAATGAGGCTAGTGGAAGTAGAAGCGTTCGTAGAAGAGGGCAGAATCCTGAGGGAGTCATCAGAGCTCCAACTGAAAGGCAACCTGGGGGAGGCCAGCCCTCAAGTGCAAGAAGAAGGAAGTAGTTGTGTTCCAAATGAAGGGAGATGACCACAATGCCAGAACATGCCTCTAATTGGCGGCATTCAGGTAAATGTTGTGTGATTTATACTTGGTTACAGACGACAGTTTAAAGCATCATAACTGATAGATGAATGGATTGATTAGGAAGCACATGTCAATCATGCGGTCACCATCAAATGTGATCTAGCAAGAGAGGTTAGGATGGTATGTAGTTAACGAAAGTACAATTATGCTTTTCCGATATTTCACTTGTGATGGTTGTAAAAGTGAAAATCTTATTATTATCATTATGCAGGCAAACCAATGGGTTGGAGTTCTACACACTGATTTAGGTAATACCTATGTCATCCTTAATGGTGATAATATAAGTGCCAGGGTGCTGAGAAGTAGAACGACAAGGCCACCTCAAGACCTTCGTTCGAGGGCTTCCAAGCTTCGTCAAAATCATCCAACCCTAGTCCTCTCTTTAGTAAGTCTCATGCTCTTCATTGACGCTTGCAGCTTCCTTCGAAAGTTCCTCACTTGCTTCGGATAGTCCCTCGAAGTGAGCTGCTAGACAAGGTTCCCACACTTAGGCAAATTCACAGCCTCTTGGTCTTCTTTGCTCCGTAACTCAACCCCTCCTTTGATCCCAAACAATGAATAGTTGGATTCAAGGATCAAACCCTCATCAGTTCTCCTCTCTGACGAAATGCCATTCTTCATAAAGTAGGTCTCAACAACTACCGTCGGATCTTCTTGTCACTGTAACAACCGTCATCGCTCCTTGCCACCATAACTAACTATTGTGCTCCTCGCACCCAAAACTACCCTGCCACTCCTCACGAACGCAACTACCGCTACTGCTGCTTCTGCATATACGACAGCCGATCACCCGCCTCCTCCTCGTCTGCCTTTGAATGCCACAGTCGAGCAAACCACATGAGGGGTATAGGTGAGTAGAAGAGAAGAAAGATTGGACAAGGTAAAATGAGCCTGAAGTAGGAGGCAGTAACTTAAGAAATAAAAAAATTATTTCAATTTTTTAATTATTCTGATGTGTCTACCGACGTGGCATCTACGTGTCTGCCACGTTGCTGCGACGTTAACCATAATCTAACGTCGTTTTCATAACCATCTGGTCAATCACTATCTCTAACAGTAAACGAATTCGTCAGGATACAAATGGTACAAAGTATCATAGTTTAGGACATGAATGAAATATTTGATAATATAGGACACAAGTTGCATTTTTTCGATAGTTCGGGTGATGTGGTGGTATTAGCCCTAATATGTATAACAAAGTTTTTTGTAGTATATTAGTGTATAATTGAAACTATCGAACATGAGGTAGTTGGTTCAAATCCCATGAAGGGTATTTATTTTTGGATGGCATGTGTGAAAATACTGAATTCTGGTTTCTGTTCCATGTATTCTCGATTTTGATTGATTTGACCAAGGTTTAATATCGACCCCCTTTCCAGCCGGTTTGGTGACCGATACTTACTTGAATAATATTGGAAAGGACCGGATAACAAGTTGTAAAATGTTAGATAATCATAAGGAACATAGCATCAACATACATTAGAATATCTAATTAATCACATAATCATCCAAATGCTTGTTTAGAAACAAATACAAAACAATGATTTTGGGGGATTATTGTGCGCTCTCTTTCTACTTTCAAAATCTCTGACTTCTCTCTAACTTTCCCCTTCCAGACTCCATTCGGGGGGACCGCCTATTCACTTCTTGGTGATCGGTGGCTACCCACTCATGTTTATATTCCACACTTTTCTTTGCTTCTTCTTCTTTTCTTTCATGCTTTGCCAATCCCTTTGTGGATCTATGTATTTCTAGCTTGCTATCTCTAAGTGGATTTTGCCATAAAACTTATCTCTTGAGATGGTTTTCTTCCACACTTCAGATCTAACTACCAGATCTTGAGGTCGTTCTTAATGTGCAGAGGGATTGCTTTGCAATTTACATCTTTCTTCGTGACTTTTAGAGCTGTCCTCCTTGCTTCACTCGGAATGGAGTTGTGATTCGGTGGTTTGGCTATATGCCTCTTGGTTCTGCTGTCATGTGGTTTGGTGTAGGGATGTTGTCTCCTTTTCGAATTGTTGATGCTCTGTTCGTTTCCGTTTGGCGTTGGATTTGAGGGGTTCGTGTGCCGGGCGGTGTTGTTTTGTCTTCTGTGCGGTGGTTTCTGGGGTTGGTGTCTGCTTGGAGGTGTTGGCGGTGGGTGTGGTGGCGTGGTTGATTTGGGCAGGGGTTTGGGTGGCGTCGGTGGTGTTGTTTTTGGATGCTCGCAGTCTGTTCCTGCTGGTGGTGGTGCGGCAGTGGTGGTGGTGGATTGTTGTCTGCGGCGAAAGGCTTTTCCAGGGTTGTTGGCCCCTGCTTGTGGTCTGGTGGTGTTGGTTTCTTTGGGCTAGGGTTGTTTTGTGGGCCAGGTTGTGGTGGTTGGTGTATTTAGGTTTTGTGTCTGGGCTGTGATGTCGTGGATGTTGTCATGTTGGGGTGGGGTTTTGGAGTTTTGATTTTGTGGGTGGGCTTTTATTTTATGTGTTTTGGATGGGCTCAGCTTTACGTTTAGGTTAGGCTTCCATCTTTCAAGGACCATGGTCCAACTCTGTATCATTTCCCTTTTTCGTAATGAAATCGGTTTTCGTAAGAAAAAAAGCAAATACAAAATAACCAAACAATGTTCACAACTATCAAACTCAAACTAGAAATTACTACTTGGATTTTAAACTTGTAATCAAATCCATATCTTCAAAACCCCTGAATACTTTGCCACAATGCATACAAGGGCTTAGATTAACTTTTCCTTCAAGATAAAGGGTACAACTAGCTCAAGTCGAATAATTTTTTACTTGTAAATTCTTTTCTGAAACTTCCTTCTATCTTGTCCATTGCTATTAAAACAAGATTCTTGACTAATAAACACCAAAAAATATTAGAAAAATCATCACACTTTGACCCCCAATTTACCCCCCAAAAATGACCCAATTCAACCCAACAAACAAGCCAAATCAGCACACAACAATCAGCCCAGTACCATGAATACATAGTAGTACTACTCTACTATCTATGATATGAATCCGAGGTTAACAAATTTATGTCCACAAATCAATAATTGAGGGAAACAAGTAGACCTGAATTGATGCGAGAATTAGGGATGGCAATTTTGACCTGATCCGTTTTACCCGACCTGTTTGACCTGGTTTAGGGCTAGGCGAGCATGAGTACTCTTGTTGACCCGACCTGCCCCATTCTCGACCCATTCTCAACCTTTTATTACCTCATATTTTACCTATAAAAAATTTATAAATAAGTCAAAATCTTAATTTCTTGAATAATTTAACTGTATTTATTATATTATGGTTTGTTTCTTTGTCTTCTAATGATTTCATATAATTTCCATACCCATGAGTTGACCAGCCAGAACCTGCGCCCCATGATAAATTACACGAATGGAACCCGACCTGGCATGGGACAAATATGGGTATTGAGATATCCACCCGGACCTGATCATTGCCATTCCTAGCGAGGATGAGGAGATGACTGGAAGGGCTTAGTGATTACAATTGGGTTTGGCGGCACAGTGCTAATGGGACGAGAAAGAGTTGGGTGACTGGAGTGCTAAGAGAATTGAGAAAGAGTTGGGCATGGAGTTTTAGGGTTAGACGGGTATGCGCCATCAGGAAAATTGAGGTTAGATGTATGAATAAGATCTTATGGTGGACGAGGAGATCGTACCCTTGCCATATGAATGCCTTCCTAGACAGTTGCCGAGATAAAACCTCGGTGTGGACAGTGGGTAGTAGCCTTTGAAATGAGCTATGATCTTAATGCTCTAGATAAGATAGCCTAGATCGAGGTGACTGACATGGATTTATGGGAGGCATACTTGGAGGCTTGTGGATAACCACGAAAGCCCACGAAAATGAGCTCACTCACCACATTCGACAAATCCTACTTATCTAGACATTGCATAGTAGACCTAGGCTAGGGTGAGTGATAGTTCCCCGAAGTACCTGCTTTTATCTTTATTTACTATCTTAACCAGCTAGTTCGCTCGATGTGGGTCTCTAGACAGTCCATCCTCTCCACTAGGGGCTCCCCTTAAGTGGAAGAGCCGGAACCGGATGGTGCTGCTGGTGGTACTAGGCGCTAGAGCGCGGGACGCCGGTGGCGGTCGAGAGCTCGAGTAGGTTGGTACTCTGGAGGTGGTCCCTCTGCATCTGGATCCACTAAAGCTGGGTAAACTAGTGGTCTCATGACTCCTGAGGGTCGGAGCCCCTTAAGGTACTCTACCCCCCACTCTACCTGAAGCACTAGCTTCTGGTTGTAGAGAGTCGCCACTGGGATGGGCTCTGTCCTGCCAATGATGGAGCACCGCTCTAGATCCACCTGAAAGTGTCGGGCCAGCCTGGTGATGATGCCCACGATGTGCATAGTGTCCACCCTGTTCCGCCCCAAACACTGAGCGAAAGAGGTGGCTATCAGAGATCCCAAGTGGATCGGCTCTGTTGGATGCCTCATCGAAAAGAGATCAAGCAACCCTCTCTTCGTGAGTAGGTGGCATAACTGCGAGCTGGGCACGACGGATCGGATGAGCAGAGTGTGCATGATTCTGTACGGGATCCTCAGCTTCACCTCATTGGTGCGGCCAGCCACGAACTCCTCTTGCTCATGCTCGGGGCGGCAGAGGGCCTGAAATGCGGCCTGGTAGTGAAAATCAACGGTGTACTGCCGCTCTGTCATCATCATGTATGAAGTGTCGAGCCCCATGGCCTGGGAGAAGGCATCATAGGTCATCACCCGCGATTAACCGCCCAACATAAACTCCATGTAGGGCCGACTCTTCTTGCTTGTCGGGGCGACGTGGGCGAAGGTGGAGTAGAACTCCACGTGGAGGTCGTGGTAGATGAGCTAGTCCAATGACAGCAGCTGGCACCACTGGGGTGATAGGCGACCCCTGACATCGCAGATCGGCACCTGAATAGGTTGAACATGTCCAAGTCCAGTCGCCAATGTTGCCCAATTGGGTTGTCCATATGATAGGCTAACTTCGTCCCCAACCTAGCATGGTTCACCAAGTAGCTTTTGTACTCGTGCTCCACGTTCAGCATCCTGCAAAATCGACAAACATGCACCATACGTGGAAATAATTGTCAATCTCAATCATTGGGAGGAAAAAGGAATCCTCCCCACACTTATTTTTCCTGTACGGATCCATGCTAATCAAAATAATTAAGCATAAGCACACCGAGGCATGGTTCTAGGTGTTCACGGATTATCCCACACAAAAATTCAAACCCGAACCATGCCACGGTGGCTACCAACCACCACTCAAGCAAAACATTTCTCATCATTCAAAAATTAGCACTCGGGCAAATTTCATAAATAAAAGCAATTCGAATCAAAATATGCCCACCAAGGTTCAACTAAGCTCAAGCAACATCATTCAATCACCCTAATTCGCCTAATTCTTGGCCCTAACGCTAAGTTCAACATTCAATTAATTCTCCTCACTTCACTACCTAATCCGATTCTCCCAAAATAAATAAGGTAGAGCTGAAAACTAACCTGGAGACTCAAGTAGGAAGGGTAGGGAGGTGAGGAGAGGAGAGGATAGGACGAGGAAGGTGAAAAATCAACCGAAAACATACTAGAGGAGGTCGACGGAGCTTGGTCAGAAGCTCGTTGGAGCCTCGTTGCCAGCGACTTCATCGGACAAAAATTGCTCCAAATCGCCCCAAAATCTCAGCAAAGGCCGCTTTTGTTGAGGGGAGATTGGGTCTGGTCTTGGTTTTGGGTTTAGCTCTCCGAAAGTGGAGGAAATGAGCAAAAATTATTGGATTTTTGCGATTTTCAGCGAGGTTTGAAAATTCCGATGAGATTTTGGGTCGTGAAGTGAAGAAGACCATTCATGGCCCTTTTATAGGTAGACCCTGTAGTTCACTGACGCGTTAGCCAGTTCACGGTCGTTAAGACCATGAACACTCCAATCCATCCGTGAACACAGGCCAGTCGATGGGTTTGACACACGTTGAAGCACCCAGGTTCATGGACGCGTTTGCCTGTTCACGGTCTTATAAGACCGTGAACAGGGCAATCCATCCATGAACACCAGTGAAAACAAGGCACTTCCGAAAAATTTCACTCGACCTACTCCACCGTGCCTACTATCATTCACGACACAACTCAAAACACGCAATCACAAAAACTTAGCATGGGGAGACCACTCGACTACTTGAACTCTTCACTCGACACAAAAACGAAAATACGGAAAAGAAAACAAACCTACATTGGGTTGCCTCCCAAATAAGCGCTAAGTTAACATCACCAGCTTGATGTTGAGGATCTATCACGCCTTTGAATGTGATGTCGTCGAGAGTGGATCGTCGACATTCTCGGGGCGAGGCATGTCGCCTTCCAACTTACTCTCCATGGGGTGGCATTCTCGGCCAATGACTCCAGCTTTGCCCTTTTCCTTCCACATGGCATAAGCATAACTTATCATTTCCCTCCAAGCTCGTTTTCTTCTTTCTTTGGCCGAGATGCCCTCCTTTCTTTCCTGCTTCACATCATCACAAGAACCAACAGTAATAGTGGGGTTTGCCTTGCAAGGCTCTCCTCCACTTACATTCTTACCACCCAGTTCCACTTCCTTTACTTCCTCACTCCTAAGCTGAGGATTATTTCCTAGAGTAATTCTCTCCTCACCATCTCTCAGGATCAAAGTTCCCTCATTTACGTCAATTAAAGCCTTCGCGGTAGCAAGGAAAGGGCGTCCTAGTATGAGTGGCATCTCAGAATCCTCACTTATATCTAGGATCACAAAATCCGTCGTATAACAGAATTTTCCCACTCGTACTAGCACGTCCTCCACTATGCCCCTAGGACAAATGACAGAGCGATTGACCAATGTGACACTAAGCCTCTGACTCACTCCTACTGTCACTCTAGAAAATGGCCAAGTGAAACCACTTCCTAAAGCGTAGTATAGTGGGTTTGGGTTTTAATTTCAACCCGCGTCCAAGATGTGATGACTACTCAGTGAATTCTTATTATCTAGCGGTAAAACTTAAGTGCAGGTTCAAACAAGCAAAAAACACAAAGCAAGTTAAACGGTTGATTCAAGTCGAGAGAGGTCACCCGGATATGGTTCCCCCTAGACTGCAGTTAAGCCGGATTGCAATTTACCAAGTTCAATTTCTATGATAGTTATACTGCGGAAGGTTCTTAAACAGTCTGAAGTCTCGACTAAAGGTCTCCAGACCCTCTCAATCTGAGTCTCTAGCGGGCGACTAACCTCCACCGGAGTAAACAGATTGAGGCCCTAACGAACAAAACCTCCACTATCGAAGTAAATTCGGTACAGAATAGTGAATTGGCTCCTCGACTAAAGTCGCCAATTCACTACCTTCAATTAAGGGTGCTCTATCAACCTAGGCAGATATTCTCTTTCTAGGTTAAAGCAGAAACAACAGGAATTTGATCAGGATTCATGCCATTCAATCATTCAAACCTCAATTGAATATAATCAAATCATAGAATCTGTACTTGGGTTCATACAATCAAACCTAACATACAAATCTAGGGTTTCCCATACCCAGATGAATGGGAGAACTACTCCACGGAGAAAGAAGCAAAAGCATATTCAGATGCGGAAACCATACTGTGAAGGATGGATTTCTGCTCCTGAGCATCGATCGGCACTTCTCCAAGCTCAAGCCGGGCTCCAATGGTGATGAAGATCAAGCTAGGGTACTTGGGAACTCTTGTTCGTCGCTTTCTCTCTCTAGGAATCGCTCTGTCTCTCTAAAACTCGAATCTCCCTCACTTGTGGCTGGAAATTGGCTTAAAACCAGAAAATCCTGACTCACACGACCATGTCACACGACCGTGTGACTCCCCCAGCTCCCCGTGTGGCTTTGCAAAACGCGGCGGTTCGTTAAGTGACTTCAGGCTTCCCACGCGGCCACGACTCACACGGCCGTGTGAGTGTCCAGGCTGCCCGCGTGGCTTTTCCCGAGCCTTCACACGGGCACAGTGGGTCTCCCACACGGCCGTGTGGCTTTTGGGCATGCCCGTGTGGCTTCTCAGCTTCTCGCCAAGCGTCCCAACTTTGTCCAATCGACCCCGAACTCGTTCCTTAACCTTCATTCACGTACTAGGACCTGAAATATCACAAACAAGAACAACCTAGCGTGAAATCGGCCTAAAACACGGGAATCGATATCTCAAACGGCTCAAGAATAGGGGTAAAAACATGTGTAATCAATGGTCTATCAAACTCCGCCACACTTAACTGTTTGCTTGTCCCCAAGCAAACCAAGTCAGACACAAGGTAAGCTCAAAACCTTTCAATCAAGCAGGCTTTAGGGCATATCATATCGGCACAAAACACGTGGATCATACTGGCTTTCGATCATTAACACATGGGCAACTCCAACGACAACCTAGACAACCACCACAGATGACATTCGAATGCAGTAAAGTCGAGCAAAGAAAGAGTCTCCCTTCTGTTCACCAACCAACATAGACTTGACCCAACCACTTATTCAAAACAGTCACTTCATGCATAAAGCTCAAGATATCAGAATTAAGACCGAGCAATCTAGGTCCTCACCGGGATAAAGAGTATAGAGAATATGAGAAAATGAATCGCTCACTCTCGACCAGTGGGGTCAGGACAATTTGATGCGAAAAATGCGCATGCTTATTCTCTCAATCCCTAACGTCTCTTCACCATGAAGGCAGCCACTAAATGCTAGAGTTCACATATGAGGTGTCACCACTAACTAATCCGGAGGTCTTAGACACAGGTTCAGATGACTGGCTAGGGTCTTGGACATGGGGAAAAGGCCTTTTAGGTGGTGGAAGTATTCATAGCACAAGGTTCCACATTTCCAACCCAACAAACTCACAGGCAATCGAACCAATAACTTTCTTTCTGCTATTCTGCATTACTCAAATTCTTCAGAGCACAAGAGCGAAGGAGGTCACATAAATGCTAGTATTTCTAAGCCAGACTGCTAAGAAACACTACGTAGTGGGCACTATTTAGATTTTTAGTGGTGGCTCTCTTTTGCTTTCATTTTTTCTTTGTTTTTCTTTCATTCATTTTTTTCATTTCTTAAGAGAACCACCACCTCTGCACACTTTTCAAACACCTGCCCAACTTTTTAAGAACTACCTCCAACTCCCACTTTATATTTAGCAGAAATAGCAGAGAACATGTAAAAACCACTCTGTGGAACCTTCTAAGAGGAGCAAAAGGGTGATTTTTCATTGCAGACCGAAGGAAAGGGTAACACACGGCTCAAAGGGGCTGACTAGGGGGTATGACACACCAGGACAGTCAATTTGGTCGTGGGCTAATCCTATGCCTCCATCATCCTATCTAATGACAACGTGAATGCTGCATATCATGGAAGAGGGAACTATCGCACAAGAAAGAAACGAGCAGGCTCAAATCTCACATGGCTACCTATATGTTCTATCTCTTGTTCTGATTCCCTGAACTAGATGCATAAATGACTGTCAAAAGCAAGTGATCAATCCAAGTCACAGTTGGTAAGCAAACAGTTGAAAAACTGAACCCCTACACAGTTCTACTGCACATCTCAGTCATCATAATAAGTTGCCTTAGTCACACTCAAGTTGTCATGCATCAAGTCAAAAGCCATTCAATTCACTAATCACATCCACCGTGCCAATACGATCAAACATTAAGCCAACAGCAATGCTTGGAGCCCTCAAATCTCGAGATTTGGACAATGGACTAGGCTCTAAGCACACAAACAGATCTAATGCAGTCGAAAGATAAACATCCCCCTCACACTTAAGATCGACATTGCCCTCAATGGAGAAGAGGGAAGGATAAGGGGAACGATGTTACCGGTGTGCACGGACTACATGAGACTGGAAGCGGACCCGCCGAGTGAAGCGGACTGGAGAGAGACCAGTCTGGAACAAAGCACAGCTAAAGGGGAACAAAAGAGCTCAAACAAAATATGTTAGGTCCAATGGTCAGCCCAATAATACATCATCCAAAACAAAAGAAAACAAACCAAAACCAAACCGGTTTACAATCCGACTCAAAGCACAAGAAAGAAAGTCAAACCGTGGCGGGGTTGCCTCCCCACAAGCGCTTCTCTACCGTCTTTTAGCTGGACGCCCATGGTGGATACTCAGCGGGGTGCAGGAACAGGTGACTCCAAGAGCGGATCCACGTTGCTCTTGAGGTACAACTTCAGGTTGTGGCCATGCACCCGACGGTGCAGCCATCAGCATTGGTCAGCTCGACCTGGCCATCCGACAAGATGCAGGAGAGTGAGTACTCGGATGGCCAGGGTGGTCGTGGTGCAGGGGGTGGAACCAACTCGTAGTGGTCTCCACCCTTCTTCCGTGCAGGCTTAGCAACCTGCTGCTTCGGCCGCCACTCCTCCTTGATCTTTTTGTTCGGAGGCGAGACTGGATGGAGTGGCGGCAAAGGAATGATAGGAGGGTCCTGCTAAATGAGAGGTGCAGAAGGATACACAACAGGCTCGTGTACCTGATCAGAAATGGCATGCACAGGTGTGACAGCAATCATAGCACAGTGATCGAATTCAGTCAAAGAAAAAGTAGCTTGTTCATTCCCAGCACGCAGAATTAGTTTACCATCATGCACATCAATAAATGCCTTGGAGGTGGCAAGAAATGGTCTACCCAGGATCAAAGGCACATTCACATCCTCATGTATATCAAGAATAACAAATTCAACAGGATATGTGAATGCACCTACATTAACAAGCAGATCCTCTATGATCCCCCTAGTATGCACAATGGAACGATCAGCTAGCTGAATGCTCATCCTAGTAGGGCTAAGTTCACCTAGGTCTAGCTTTTTATACAACTTATATGGCATGACATTTATGCTAGCGCCTAGGTCCGCCAAGGACTTGCCTACATGCATGCTGCCAATAGTAAGAGGGATAGTAAAACTCCCTGGGTCCTTGCGCTTTTCGGGCAGCTTGTTCTGCAGGATAGCAGAACACTCCTCGCTCAGCAACACTGTCGAGAGATCCCCAAGTTTCTTCTTGTTGGTGAGGAGATCTTTCATGAACTTCGCGTACTTGGGCATCTTCGACAGTGCCTCCAAAAACGGTATGCTGATGTTGAGCTGCTTCAACATTGCCATAAACTTGGCAAACTCAGTCTCTAGCTTGTCTTTGTGTAGGCGAGTGGGGAAGGAAAGCTGGGGTACATGCTCCTTAACCCACTGGTTGTGGCTTGGGGGCAGGGGCTTCCTTCTCCACCCGCACTTCTGCATCGTCGGCTGGAAGTGCTGAAGCAGGTAGTGGTTCCTCCTGCCTGGCCGGGGCAGGATCAGCGGATATGGTCTTACCGCTCCTGGTGAAAATGGCATCCAGCTGCTGGTGCGGCTCCCGTGGATTGGGGATGGTAGTGGCAGGTAGAGTTCCCGGGGCTCGGGTATTAATTTGGCGAGCCATGTCACCCATCTGGTTCTGCAAATCTTGCAAAATGGCACCTTGGTTCCTCTGACCTGCCTCCAGTGAGGCTATGCTCTGGTCCAGCCTCGTGACAGTTGCCTGGATGGTAGTCATGAATGTCGCTAGAATGTTTTTCAGCTCCGTTATCTGATTATCTGGAGCCGGAGCTGCTGCTGGCTCAACAAACTGACACTGGGGCTGCTGGAATGGTTGCCCCTGCCTAGGCTGGTAGGACTGCTGCTGTGGGGATGGCCCCTGTCGAGCCTGGAAGGGCTGCCTCTGCTGAAAACCACCAGCTGGTGCTGGAAAACCAGGTGGTTTAGTGGTGTTACTACTCCAAGCAAAGTTGGGATGCTGGCGCCACCCCTCATTGTATGTGTTACTGTATGGATCGAGGCGCCGCGCATTGGCGATGAAGGCCAACTGCTCCTAGGGTGTAGAAGACTCCCTCATAGCCTGGCAGTCTTCCACTAGATGATTTGAGCTCTCACACCACTGACATTGAGCTACTGAAGGTGTAGCCAAACCTCTGCCCGGAATAAGACTGTTGGGCTGCTTCAATGTCTGCACTAACTCAGCTACCTGCTGCTCGAGCCTGGATCTGGTCTCCATGGCGTGCACACCCCGGTCCCGGGAATGTCTGCCTCTGCTTCTCTGCCCCCAGGAATGATCTCTGACAGCCAAGGTACTGATCATCTGGTTCAGTTCGGGTGGAGTCTTAGTAAGAATATCCCCTCCTGGGCATAGAGACTCAATCACCCTCTGGCTGTCCGGAGAGAGGGCACTGTAGAAGTTCCCCACTGTGAATGCATCACTTAAGCCATGATGGGGACACTGCCAGAAATATCCCATGTACCGCTCCCATGTATCACGAAGTGACTCGTCTGGCTCTTGGCGGAAGTGAGTGATCTCCCGCTGGATCTCTGTGGTCTTCGATGCTGGGTAGTACCTGTGCACGAATTTGTCAGCCAGATAATTCCAAGAAGTGATGGACAATGGGGGCTGGGTCTCCAACCACCTCTTAGCATTCCCCGCCAGAGAATGGGGGAAGAGGTGAAGGCGGATTGCGTCATCTGGGACACTGTTCAGCTTGAAACCGTTCGTCAGCTGCAGAAAACGGGAAAGATGCACCCTTGCCTCCTCATCCTTCAAGCCATGGAACTGGATAGATGATGTAATGAGTTAAATCCAACATGGCTTGATCTTGAAGTTATTCGCTGGAATAGGCGGGTAGAGGATGACCGGGCAGATGTCAACAATCCGTGGAGTGTAGTAGTACTCCAAGGTGGGACCCGGCGGCGGTGGATGATGATGAACCCCATCTGCCTGGGGTATGGGGTTGTTCCCCAAGACCTGATTCACCGGGGGAGCCTGGTGAGGATTCCCCTGGTGTGGATTGCAATCTCCTTCCATCTCGTACTCGTCCTCGGACTCGCTGCTCAAATGGCCGTCTATGCGCTCCTCCGTAGCCAGTCTAGCTCGTTGTTGTCTCCTGAGTTGGCGACAGGTGCGTTCAATCTCTGGATTCAACGGCAGTAAACCTCCCGACTGGCTACGGGTCATGCACTACATGCACACAATCAAGCAAGCAAACCCGTGAAGGCACAAGTGGGACAAAGCAAACAATGCGAAAAGAAAAGCTAAATTACAGAATTCACGTTTCTTCAACAACCTAGCCGTCCCCGGCAACGGCGCCAAAAACTTGACTCACTCCTACTGTCACTCTAGAAAATGGCCAAGTGAAACCACTTCCTAAAGCGTAGTATAGCGGGTTTGGGTTTTAATGTCAACCCGGGTCCTAGATGTGACGACTACTCAGTGAATTATTATTATCTAGCGGTAAAACTTAAGTGCAGGTTCAAACAAGCAAAAAACACAAAGCAAGTTAAACGGTTGATTCAAGTCGAGAGAGGTCACCCGAATATGGTTCCCCCTAGACTACAGTTAAGCCGGATTTCAATTTACCAAGTTCAATTTCTATGATAGTTATACTGCGGAAGGTTCTTAAACAGTCTGAAGTCTCGACTAAAGGTCTCCAGACCCTCTCAATCTGAGTCTCTAGCGGGCGACTAACCTCCACCGGAGTAAACAGATTGAGGCCCTAACGAACAAAACCTCCACTACCGAAGTAAATTCGGTACAGAATAGTGAATTGGCTCCTCGACTAAAGTCGCCAATTCACTACCTTCAATTAAGGGTGCTCTATCAACTAGGCAGATATTCTCTTTCTAGGTTAAAGCAGAAACAACAGGAATTTGATCATGATTCATGCCATTCAAACCTCAATTGAATATAATCAAATCATAGAATCTGTACTTGGGTTCATACAATCAAACCTAACATACAAATCTAGGGTTTCCCATACCCAGATGAATGGGAGAACTACTCCATGGAGAAAGAAGCAAAAGCAGATTCAGATGCGGAAACCATACTATGAAGGATGGATTTCTGCTCCTGGGCGTCGATCTGCACTTCTCCAAGCTCAAGCCGGTCTCCAATGGTGATGAAGATCAACCTAGGGCACTTGGAAACTCTTGTTCGTCGCTTTCTCTCTCTAGGAATCGCTCTGTCTCTTTAAAACTCGAATCTCCCTCACTAGCGTGAAATCGGCCTAAAACACGATAATCGACATCTCAAACGGCTCAAGAATAGGGGTAAAAAACATGTGTAATCAATGGTCTATCAGCCTCGTAGTGTTTAGTTCACCTATGTCTAGCCTCTTTAAAAGCTTATATTGCATCACATTTATGCTCGCCCCTAAGTTCGCAAAAGGAGTTTTCTATGTGATGAGAACCGATGCAAAGAGGTATAGTGAAACTACCTGGATCAGGTTGCTTCTTGGGCAACCTGTTGAGGATGAAGGCTGAGCACTCCTCGCCTAGGGTGACATTGGCGAGGTCTTCGAACACGCCTTGAGGTATCTCGAATACCTTGGCATGTGGGTCATTGCTTCAAGGAAGGGAATGTTGAGGTGAAGCTTCTGGAGCATCTCCAGGAAACCTCCATATTCCGCTTCCAAACTTTCCTTGTGCACCCTCGTGGGTAGGGCTGTAAGTTTGGTACCGGTATTTGGGATATACCGAATACCGTACCAAATTTTTCTATATTTGGTATTACCGAATACACGTATTATTTTGTGGGATTGGGATTGGGATTGAATTTCAATTGTTATTCGGTATTAGGGATCACGGGATTGGGATCGGGATATACCGAAATACCGATCAGTACCAAAATATAAGCTAGTGTATGTTATCCTCTGAACTAGACTCTCTCATTTACTACTACGCGACCCTCAACCACCAAGAGTGTCATTTAATTATACAGAGATCATTTCATCACTATTTCACACTAGTATTAGTCATCTCTCAACCTCCAATTCATCACATTAAAGATTACCAATTACAAGAACTTGAGATGTTAGCTCTAGGCAACTAAAGACTCTTTGATTAGTCTCTTTGCCCTAAATTAAACAATACAATCTAATTTATATATTTAATTACTAATTGTAAAGGTAATTAATTATGTATTCGATATCGAGGTATCGATCGGGATACCGAAGTATTTAGGGATTGGGATTGATTTTAGGGTGTAATTCGGTATTCGGGATTTCGGTATTTGGTATTGGGATACCGATACTGTACCGATTTCCACCCTTACTCGTGGGAAAAGGTAGGGGTGGCGTGTATTCAGCCACAGGTGGTGGCTTCGACAATGCCTTCCTCGCCACTCCTCTCTTTTCTTCTGATGTTTCTTCTTCGTCACCCTCAGGTTGAGGGTCTTTTTAGTTTTTTCTCATTCACTTCTTTGGAAACAACCTTCGGAGTCACCTTCCTGCTCCTCAAATGGATTGCATTCACCCCAACATGATCCTTGGGGTTGGTAATGGTTTGAGAGGGTAGGGCTCCCTTTGGTCTCTCGGTGAGGATCCCGACAAGATTGCTAATTTGCACTTCCAAGTTTTAGAGACTTGCTTGATGGCTCCGGAGTCCCGCCTCAACCGAGGTAAACTTGGAGGTTGCCACATCCATGAATTGCTCAATCTTCTCGAACTTCTGAGAGCTTGTACTCACAAAGGAGGTCACAAGGTCTTCTAGTTTAGGGAACTTATCGACTTGTTGTAGTCATTGAAACCCTTGACCGCTTTGTGCTTGGTATGGTTGTTGGAATTTCGAATTTTGGAATTGAGGCCTTTGTTGGATGAAGGTTGGCCGAGGTTGATTGTTTCCCGTTGGACCTTGGAAACCAGGAGGTCTTGGATTGGTAGGAGAAGACCAAGCGAAGTTTGGATGATTACTCAACCCGGGGTTGTATGCATTGCTATAAGGGTTATTCCCTCTAGCAATGGCAATGAAACTCCCCTGATCGTCAAGGGTACTAGTCTCCTTCATCACATGGAAATCTGCATTTTCATGATTAGTACTTGAACACCAATCACAAGACATCACCGCCCTCTTCTCTTGCTTCTTGTCCTCAAGGATCACCTCGATCAACTTGTCAAGCTTCACTTCACGTGGATCACTCGCTCCCACACTTCGCACTCCTCGATTAGTGCTTCTCTTCCCACTTCTTGTCAAGCCCCAATCATATTCCTTAAGGGCCATATCTTCGATCAACTCGGTCACTTGAAGAGGGGTCATGTTCATCAACCTCCCTTAGCAAAGAGATTCAATGAGGATCTTGCATCTTGAATGAGTCCTCCATTGAAGGTTTCTATCTGAAATTGCTCCTCGAATCCCTGGTGAGGGCATTGGAGGAAGTAGTCGGAGAATCTTTCCCATGCATTCCTAAATGTCTCATTCTCCTCTTGCTCAAAGTGAGTGATCTTTTTCCTCCACTCGGCCGTCTTGGAAGGAGGACAATATCGGGTCATGAACTTGTTGAGTAGGTCGTCCCAAGAGCTGATGGATAGAGTCGGATGGTTGTTGAGCCATCAGAGTGCCTTCCCCCGCCAAAGAATAGGGGAAGAGCTTCAATAGCAATGCCTCCTCGGGGACGCCATTTATCTTCAAGCTTCCCGCTAGCTCAAGATACCTTTGGACATGCTCCTGTGGTGATTCATGAGCAAGCCCGTGGAAGTAGGCATTTTGTTGAATCATCGTCACGAGAGAGGGCTTGATCTCAAAGTTGTTGGCGGCCACGGGTGGATATAAGATAGGAGATTGGATATCCGCCGCCCGTGGGGCCATGTAATATCCCATAGTTCTTGGCTTTTCCTCGGCTGTCGCTTACACATTTGGGTTTGGAAGCGGATTAGCCCTCGGTGTTGATTTCCCACCATCTCAACTTCAACTTCTCCTTCAATTCCTTCAAATCCGGGACCAACTTGTTGTCCCCTTTCTTCACTTCTCCTTCTTGCCTCCGCTTGCTCCCTATCTCGAGCTAGAAGTCGGAGAGTCCGATTGATGTCCTCGTCCAGTGGTGTTAAAGGCGTCGATTGCTCCAGGTCATGCACCTCCCTACACACACTTAAAGAACACAACACGTCTAGCACAAACAAACACTTCACAACTGAACAAAAACATAAATTAAAAGCTAGATTAACACCAAACAAACTTTTCAAGATAACGAACCGAAGGATTGATCAAATTCTATTGAGTCTGACTCATAGTGATCATTAATCAAAGAATGACTCTGATTAGATCTCTCTCTCTCTCTCTCTCAATAATTGGTATTGAAGTTTGATCCAATCAACCACTCACAGCTGACCTCAAACAAGACTATCACAATAAAACCCCACCTAAGGCCCAAGTATGAACCATAGATGGGTGAAATATAGGGCAAGTATGTTTAAATATCGACCCGGCCCGACCCATGTACCACTACTTCAACTGTTTGAAACATTATCTCGCGGATTGGTTTTTGGTGAAAACTAAGGTCTAAAACCAAAGTACTTTGCAAAGATAAAATGGATGTGACACTAATTGAGAAGGCTTCACCCGGGTGTTGCTCCCGCTAGCTAACAATTACGACGTGAAGAATTGAACGACCGTGTGTGGTTAGGGTGTTATAAACCGCAGGAAAGTCTAACAAGCAACTGAGGCTACCCTCTTAGTCTCTAGGTTGAGGAAATGGGATATGATCCAAGTCTCTAATGCGACCCTCTCAACCTATCGACTAAGGAATGGTTAGACTTTGCCCTCAAATTGGAGTTCGGACGGCCACCCACAACCAAACCCTCAGTGCTAATATGACTTAGGAGTTCCCTTAATTAACCTAGAATAGGAGGGATGAAATGCCCAAGGAAACCCATCTCTGATAGAGCCTCTTAGGTTAAGGAGGGTTTCTCTAAACTAGTCTAGGAGGCTTTGAATGCCCAAGGAAACCCAGCTAAAATTAAGCCACTTTGGATAAAGAAGGTTTCCTCTCTAAACTAGCCTAGGAGGCATGCAATGCCCAAGAATACCCATCTCTAATTGAGCCTCTTAACCTAAGGAGGTCTCCTCCCGAAGCTAGGTCAACAAAGCACACATCATCATCATGAAATATATCTCCACATTCACATTAAAACAGAACCACACACAAATCATTCAATTCTTACAAGCATTGACATAATTGTAGCTAGGGTTCACAAACACCAAGTGAAAGATGGGACTACTCCATGCTAGGAGAATGGAAAATACAAGAAAGGGAAAGGAAAACCATCATGAAGATGAAAGTCTTGCTCATTCTATTGAAGAGATCCTCCTTTGGGGGAGGAATTCCCAAATCCTATCTTGGAGATGAAACCCTAGCTTCTCCTTTTCTTGGCTTCGTCACTTTCTCACTCTAAAATCTGAAGAAGAAGAAGTTTCTCACACTAGGTCTCTCCCCCTTCTTCCTTTCAGCGGGCTCTTTTAAACCGAGATCGAGCCCAGTTCACGGCCTGAGTTCACGGCCGTGAACATCTAAACGTGTCCGTGAACTCGGTGTCTGAACCAAAGCGCACTGCTTCACATCCCTGGGTTCACGGTCTATGGCTTATGTTCACGGTCATAGCGACCGTGAACAACCCTGGCTTCAGTAAACCCAAAACCCTCTCTGGACTCTCCTTTGTTCACGGATTATGGCTCCATTTCATGGTCCCGTAAGATCTTGAACTCCAATGGCAGATCGTGTACTGCGGTTGTCTGCTCCTCTTTGCCCAGTCTTTGCTCCTTTCCTTCCAACTTTCGACTTCGGGTTTGGTTTCACATGTTAGGATATGAAACACACTAAAAAAACAAGAACCTCGCGTAAAACCACCCCTTTCAGAGTTCAATTGCAACAAACATCACAATGAACTGGTGGTTAAGAGTGTACAATTAGGCCCGAATCAATGCTCATTTCCCAAAACATAATTTGAATCAGAGAAGCACAGCTAGATTCAATCCAAAGATTGAATAAAAAACTCTATAATGAAGAACCTAAAACAGAGTTTGAGTTTGTGTTTGGGATGGTGATTTTGTGCAACCTTCTCGAAGGGAAGAGTGGCTCGAAAACTTAGGGTAGATGCTTGGCCACGGACAGTGGGATTAACTGAACGATACAAGCTCAAAATCTCACCTAGAATCAGCTAGGAAGATCTTCAAATTCACAAAGCAATCGCTATGGAACTCAACCTTGCGGTTTATTCAATTCAACTCTAAAATCTGAAAATTACAATGAATCAAAGCTACTTAAATAGACCTAGCCAATCCTACTACTCTTAGAGAAGTCCTAAACAAATTACAATTGGAAAAGGAAATCAAAACCAAAAATTAAAAGGAATTAAACACAAAACAACAAAGGAATCCTAATCCGAGAAGGATTCGGATTGCCTGGTTTCCAAAGACAGAAATTCAGCTTCGATAGGATCTTTGGAGCTTTCGTAGTTTTGTTCGAGGCCTTCTAGTCTTCATTCTAGTCATCCAATGCCATGTTGTTGTAGCAGAAGAAACCTACTTTTATGAGGTATGAATCTGGACAATCGACTCTTCCTCAATCTCCAAATATCGAGCTCCAAAGTCCCTTCCTCGAATGTCTCCATGCTTTAGTCTTTTTCTGCCAGTTTTCCAGTTTCAACTTCCACTTTTGCACAGGCTGTAAAACAACTTTCTGGGTTTCCAATTGATCTCCAAAGCATGTCAACGTGTAGAGGGTGACACCATCTTTAAAACAAACCCTCAAACATCCATTTCCATCGAACCAATAGAGAGTTTCACACGTCCAAAGTTGGCTACCTGAAACTGTAAAAGGACTTAGTCAAAATTCAGTGTTCTTAAATGTACTTAGCTTACCTTCTTGATCAATCGATTCCAGCTTGATTAAGGACCAATTTGAGATCATATCGGTCCCTCCCTCATAAAAAAGCTTTGACCTCAAAGCTTTGGTCCTCCTTTCCTCATATGCCCCACAGAACTACTCCCAAATTGGGTCGATAAAAGGCTGCTCGAACTAGAATTTATGGAATGTCTGAGTAGTGTTCTTCAGCGACCAAATTGGGGCTTTATTCTCCAAAAATCTGTAGAGCAATTCAGAGCCACCATTGGCTTCAGCAAACACCGAATTGAAGTTCTGGTTAGAGCTCGTGCCTCGAATCATCGTCCCCGTCATCTAATCGTTGTCAGCTTTCTTCCCGCCATCGTCGAAGTTCAAACTCTTCGAACCCAGAAAATCCAATTGAAAATTGGGCATTTTGGATAGAGGGATCTCTGGGTGGAATGGACGTATCTGAGAGCTTCCTGTAATCACCCTGAATGATTCTCCATCAACCAATTGCTTCGATTTATCCCCACTCGCTTCAACCCATGGACTCGATTTTTGGTCGAGTTGGCTCGTTTCTAGAGCAATTTTGGTCAAATTGGATTCGGCAATCCAGGTATATTCGTCCCAATCCAACTTTCATTTGAGCTTCCTGGCGCAATTTTGAACATGCTTGTAGTCGCCGTTTGGATCAACTCTTCGCCTATTGCTCCGACCAATTCACTCTCCCTCCTACTTTGTTCCGATGATGGTTGGTAGGTTGGCAACGATGGATCTTCCTTTCTTTCTTGTACACAGTCAAAATGTATGGCCGAGTGACAAGAGTGGCGGCATTGTCTCCCTTGCCGAACTTACCACTTGATTTACCTTTAGATCGACGTTGACTCGCTTCAAGTTGCCGTCGATCTTCTCAGACTTCTTCCGGTGACAGGGGCTTCAGCAGAATCTCCTTCCCCTTGTGCCGAACTTTGTAGCAGTTCGACCCTCCATAGTGGCATACACCTCAGTCGAATTGCCAGGGCCTCTCGAGAAGTAAATGCGCAGCTTGCATCGGGGTGACGTCAAATTCGAACTCGTCGTGGTAAGCTCCGATTTTAAACTTCACTCATGCTTGGCTTGAAACTCGAACCGCTCCGTAATCGTTAAGACAATGTAGGTTGTAAGGGTCTGGATGCCTGGTAGTTTTTAATCTAAGTTTGTCCACAACATCCTAGCTTATCACGTTGGCACAGCTGCCTCCGTCAATGATTACCGACAAGAGTTTTCCGGAAACCAAACAGCGGGAATGAAATAAGTTTTCCCTTTGGCTTAGTTCTGGTTGTGTTTCAATGGTTAAAGCCCTTCGACTAACAGTTAGAAGCTTGCCATGTGGAGGCTCGGCTTCAATTTTCTCATCAACTTCCTCGTCTGGAATTTTGCTCGTCGTCGGTGAGAAACTCGCCATCTCTGATCACCAGAGTCTTTATGTTAGGACACTTGTTGGCTTTGTGTCCTCTTCCGTGGCACTTGTAGCACTGTATCCCTCCAGAGCGTTCATTAGAGGTTGGTTGAGCGTTCCTGGGATTCAATTTTCTTGAATCGGATCGTAACTGCTGGGATTAGCTTCGACATTGGCCTCTATAGTCGATTTGCTCACTGAAGTACCCCTCCTTGCCATTTTCTGCTGCTTTTCGACCTTGATTTCAAGGTGTAAGACGTCCTCCAAATCGACGAATGCTCTGAGCTCGACCTCCTGCCGGATTTCTCTGTTTAATATGTGGAGAAAACGGGCGATCGTGGCTTCCCTGTCATCCCTGACGTCGGCGCGCATCATCAACAATTCTCAGCTCTCGGAAGAATTCCTCCACGCTCCGCGCTCCCTATTGAATTCCTTGCAGGGATTCATAGAGTTCCCTTTGATAGTAGGCAGGAACAAACCTGTCCCTCTCTGGTTTTGCTGCCAGCGACGTTGAAGTTGTTCCCACCACTGGGCAGCATAATCTGTGAACTCAAAAGTGGTCATGGCCACTTTCTGGGCCTCGGTGAATTGGCCACACTGAAAGAATAGGATAATTTTCCTTTCCCATTCGAGGTACGACGAAGGGTTCATCGTTCCCTGAAATGACGGTACGACTAACTTGATTCCTGGTGGTACAGCCGCCTCCACGTCGTACTGACAATCTCGTCGATCGCGATGCTGGCGATCTTGTTGATGTTAAGCGACAATCAGACGCCGCTTTAACTCAACGACTCGATTCAGCAACTCTGGATTGCCAACAGGGTTCTCTCGGTCGATGACTGCCCCTGCTTGGACATCATTCTTCGGCAGCGTCAGAGCCTCGAATTTTTGGTCAATTTCGCGTTTAAACTGACCCAAGTGATCCTGGATTTGAGTATAGAACCTCTCCTCCATGCGATCCAGTAGTTTTTCCATGTCGAACACCTGTCCTGCCATGGCTATCTGTTTCTTCTTCTTTGTTGGTTCTGGAAACACCGATTCAGGGTCGTTAGAAACATACCCTTTTGACCTCGTCCAGACCGTTGTAACAACGACGTTCTCCTCCGTTCTGGCCTCTGTTTTGAACCAGACTCGTGATGCCACTTGATAACCCACTATATGGGTGGTTTTGAATCATAGAAGCACAACTAGATTCAATCCAAAGATTGAATCAAAAACTCTGTAATGAAGAACCCAAAATAGAGTTTGAGTTTGAGTTTGTTGGCTACCTGAAACTGTAAAAGGACTTAGCCAAAATTGAGTGTTCTTTAATGTACTTAGCTTACCTTCTTGATCAAACGATTCCAGCTTGATTAAGGACCAATTTGAGATCATATCATGAAAGCTTGTAACCAAGATAAAAAGTATATTTAAGAATGATGAGCCCAGCGCTTCCTTACTTTTTCAGAACTCTTTCATCTAGGTGACATCAAATAA